TTTGTATTAAATAGCTTCGATTTGTGGGAAATCATTCAAACCGATCTGAGACAGACTTGAGAAGTAACTTGGTACAATTTGTCAAGTAAGCCAATCAGGTCAAATTTCATATTAATGTCTTGTGTTGTACATTTTTATTACTTTTACTGTACTACATTCATTTCTAAAAGTTATGTAATTGTTCATTTAGTAATGTAGTTCCTTAATTTAAAATATATATTACTAATGAATCATTCATTCATTTTCTACCGCTTGTCCCTGAACGGGGTCACGGGGGGGCCGGAGCCAATCCCGGCCAGCAATCGGGCGAAGGCGGGGTACGCCCTGGACAGGTCGCCAATCCATCGCAGGGCTAACACATAGACGAACAACCAGACACGCACATGCACTCCTATGGGCAATTTTTAGAGACACCAATCGACCTAAGCTGCATGTCTTTGGGAGGAAGCCGGAGTACCCGGAGAGAACGCACGCAAGCACGGGGAGAACATGCAAACTCCACACAGAAAGGTCTTGGGCGTGGCCCGAACCCGGAACCTTTGTGCTGTGAGGCAACGGCGCTAACCACTGTGCCAGACTGAAAACAAATTATCATTAATTCACTTTAATAGCAAAAGTTTATACGCAAACTTTCAGAGTATAAGACATTATCTTAGTAGTCTGACACATTTAATATAATTGCTATTTCTGAAACATGAATGAATAATGTAAGGGGAATGGATTTTGACCTTGATGGCTATGACTTGGTATGCACAAACAGAGAGAATAAGATGGGAGGTGGTGTGGCCTTGTACATAGATTAATAACTTTTGTTATAAGAAAGTGGAGAAAATGTCAAGGGTGGTGGATAATTTGCTGGAGTGTGTGACTGTAGAAATACTCGTGGAAAAAAAGAAAAATGTTGTAATAAGCTATATTTATAGAGCACCTGGAGTCAGCATAGAAAAATTTAATGACTGGATGGAAGAAAATTACTTGACAATAAGTCATAAATTAATGTTCATATGTGGTGACTTCAATATAGATTTGTTAAATCCTAACAAGCACACAGGAAAAACTGGGAATCAGTTTACAGAGAGGAAGACTTAGACAAAGCATATGAGCAATTTTTAAATATATTTAAGAAAGTATATGACAGGAACTGTCCTCATAAGCAGTATAAAAACAAAAGGAATTACAGTGGGAAACC